ATGCAAGGATTAAATAGGATAATGCATATACAGCCTTAGCACAATACCAGATTCAGAGAAGTTTAGCAAATAATAGAATAATAATAAATAATAAGAGGTATGATTAGATCCAGCTGGCTACCCACCTTGCTTTGAGGCCTGGCATATCGTTGGCATATTTCTCTAGTTCCTGTCACTGATGCCAGTCTCCCCTATCTTTAATTTCACTGGTCACTTTCGAGAATATTAGAAGGGGGAGGTTTGTTAACTGGGTCCACTGGCTCCATAGTATCATTTTGCCCAGGAGTTTTCTTTTACATGTTTGGGCTGGTTTCTGTTGGTATACGGAAATAAATTGATTTCCAAACACTTATCTTAAATTTTTTTTTTTTTTTTTTTTTGAGACAAAGTCTCACTCTGTCTCCCAGGCTGGAGTGCAATGGCACGATCTCAGCTCACTGAAACCTCTGCCTCCTGGGTTCAAGCAATTCTGCCTGAGCCTCCCTAGTAGCTGGGATTATAGGCATGTGCTACCACGCCGGGCTAATTTTTGTATTTTTAGTGGAGACAGGGTTCCATGTTGACCAGGCTGGTCTTGAACTCCTGACCTCAAGTGATCCACCTGCCTCTGTCTCCCAAAGTGCTGGGATTACAGGCGTGAGCCACCATGCCCAGCCAAACACTTGTTGATAATGGCATCTTTTTTTATTTTTTTAATTTTTAAATTTAATTTTAAATTTTTAAATTATTATTTTTTAGAACAGTGTCTCACTCTGTCACCCAGGCTGGGGTGCAGTGGTGTGATCATAGCTCACTGCAGCCTTAAACTACTAGGCTTAAGCGATCTTCCTGCTTCAGCCTCCCCAGTAATAGGTACGTGCCACAACGCCCGGCTAATGTGTGGTTTTTTTTTTAATTTTTAGTAGAGGTGGAGTCATGCTGTGTTGCCAAGGCTGGTTTCGAACTCCTGGGCTCAAGTGATCCTCCAACCTTGGCCTCCCAAAGTGCTGGGATTATAGGCATGAGCCACCATGGCTGGCCAATAATGGCATCTTTACCTCATTCCTGATTTAATAAAGAATACATTTCTCCTTTCTCTGGTATGTACATATGAACTATTTAAGATAAAAGTCGTTGGCCGGGCATGGTGGCTCATTCTTGTAATCCCAGCACTTTGGGAAGCTGAGGCGAGGATCACTTGAGCCCAGGTGTTTGAGACCAGCCTGGGCAACACAGCAAGACCCCTCATCTCTATTTTTATTTTTTTTAATTTGAAAAGCTATAAATATAAAAATTAAAAAGAGTTATCTTGTTAAGGAAATGTCCCATTATTTCCTTTATTTTTATCCTAAGTTTGTTGTTATTACTGTTTTTAAGTTAGGGAGGCCTGTTTAATTTAATCAAATATGGTTTCAGGATTTATTGAAATTATGTCTATTTTGCATTTTTGTTTCCTTGACCTTGTGACAGACATGATGCAGAGAGATTTTCCCAGAACTCCCCTTGGAAGTGAGTAGCTAGCAAACTACTTTATGTTCAAAGTAGTGGTAAAAGGATGGACTAGGCGATAAAGAGCATTAGGACATTTGGATACTCATTTAGGGAGAAATTTAAGTTTGATTCCTTCCTTGCAACCACGTAAAAATTCTAGATGGATTAGACATTAGACCTTGAGAAAACCTTAAAACGATTTGAAGGAAACATAGAGAAATATCTTCACAGCCTTGATTCGAGGAATCATAAGTAAGTTGTAAACTCTATAAGCCATAAAAGAAAACATTGAGAGATTTGGCTATCTAATATTCAAAACTTCTGAATGCTGAAAGACACCACCAAGACACTTAAAGATAATGGAAGGCTGGAAGAAGACATTGCCAACATATGTAACAGGCACTGCATTAATAATCTGAGCATATCAAGGAAAGGGAGGAAAATAGAAAAAAGTGATCAAAGAGGCAAATAAAGCTTAACCTCACTCATAATAAATAGCATGTAAATAAAAATAATAACAAGGGAACATTTTCCGTCATCAAGCTGTCAAAATTTTAAATAATAAATATCCAGTGTTGGAGAATGTAGGTGATCGCTAGGTTTACACTTCAGGTATCGCCAGTATTTTATGTAAATGGCGCCCCCTGCAGCCCAATTCCTACCTAGACTAACATATGCTCAGGTGCACCTTGGAACAGCGCTGGAAGACCCCTGTCCCTCCTGTGGGCTTTGTGACAATTTGGGGAACAGTTTTTGGCCTACCTGGCAAAATGTAAAAAGTCCTTTGATGCAAAGATTTCTCTTCCAGCCTTTCAGAAATACATGAATATGTACTTTGTACATAAAGATATATGCAAAAGTATGTTTATTAAAGCTTATTTTATATTGGAGAGAAAAAGGAAGCAATCTACATGTCCGTCAATAGGGGACTGTTTGGATAAATAATGCTGCTTGTATCCATTCATGGGATATTTTGTAACTCTTAAAAGGAATGAAGTGGATTTATCTGTACTCATATAGATTGATCTCCAATATTATTATTATTATTATTATTTTAAGACGGAGTCTTGCTCTGTTACCCAGGCTGGAATGCACTGGTGCAATCTTGGCTCACTGCCACTTCCACCTTCTGGATTCTGATTCTCCTGCCTCAGCCTCCTGAGTAGCTGGGACTACAGGCCCCCAACCATGCCCTGCTAATTTTTTTGTATTTTTAGCAGAGACGGAGTTTCACCATGTTGGCCAGGCTCATCTCAAATTCCTGACCTCAGGTGGTCCGCCCACCTCGGTCTACCAAAGTGCTGGGATTACAGGCGTGAGCCACTGCCCCCAGCCAAGATTTAATGTTATGACTGAGATAAACATGAATGAAAGCAAATCTTCAAAATATCTATGACTTGATCTCATGTATATACGTTTGTGACTGATTATACATTAGATAGATGGGGAATGCATAGACTGGGAACAGGCAGAGCCTACCAAGTCAAAGGAACTGGACCTGAATGGTTGGACAGAGGGAATTCTTAAAAGAAAAGACTTTCGGCCGGCGCAGTGGCTCAAGCCTGTAATCCCAGCACTTTGGGAGGCCGAGACGGACGGATCACAAGGTCAGGAGATCGAGACCATCCTGGCTAACACGGTGAAACCCCATCTCTACTAAAAAATACAAAAAACTAGCCAGGCGAGTTGGCGGGTGCCTGTAGCCCCAGCTACTCGGGAGGCTGAAGCAGGAGAATGGCGTAAACCCGGGAGGCGGAGCTTGCAGTGAGCTGAGATCCGGCCACTGCACTCCAGCCTGGGCGACACAGCGAGACTCCGTCTCAAAAAAAAAAAAAAAAAAAAAAAAAAAAAGAAAATGTTTGAGTGAAGGAGAAAGGACAAGATGGAGGAAGGTGAACAAGAAGGCATAATCCATGTTGCTTCCGGGTTCTTCCTCACCAAGTTTCCCTCGCGCGGGAAAATGCAGCCCACCCTGGGAAGATGCAGATCAACCGAGCATGTGCCAGGTGATGTCAATCTGAAGAGATGGAAACTTACCCGGCCACGCCTACAGAGACGCCCCTATCACACCCTTATCCCCGCCCACTGCCCTCCCCCTTCCAGTACCAATGCATAAAAGTCTGCCACCGGCAGGAGCCAGGGTGACTTCTTCGCCCTGGCATTTGTGGACCAGAGAACATCACCCCAGAGCCTCCGGTGCGACTTCCCTGGCCCCCCACACCTGAGGACCAGAGAACCTCGTCCCAGAGTGTGTGCATATTTGCAATAAAAGACTGCCACTTTCTTACATACTTTGGCCTCATGTTTAATTATTTAGCTCTCCTAAATTAAGTTACATTAAATTAAATCAAAACAGAAAAGACTTTCATGTTTTACTCTGTATACTCAGTTACTTTATGCTCTACTACAACAATAATGTATATGTTTTGTGTGTGTGTGTGTGTGTGTGTGTGTATGTGTTTTCTTAATCTTACATTCAAAATATAAGGTAGTCCACTGGCTCTGAGCTACAAGAATCCTTATGGGTTTGGCAGTTCTTTGACAACTTCCCACCTGGCTAAACTATCAAGGAATGTCCTACCACCAAGCGTGAGAAATTCTTGGCATTCCTGAAATAAATTCTTCTTCTGAGCCAGCTCATGTGGGCATCATAATCTCCTCGAAGGCTTTTAAAAGATTTAGATCTGAGTCTGTCTCACATTCTCGGGTTCAGAACCAAAATTTCTCTGTCTGAGGCTATTATCTTGCTCTGGAGGAGGGAGTGAGAACTGGATCACTGGTTAGCGTGGTGACTGTTTTGGACAATTGCGTAGCCACAGCCACAAACACAGAAGGCAGAGAGGCAGCCTTGATCTGCAAGGGCTCCAGGCTACCTCAATGGGGACCCTGGATGGACAAAGGCATTCTCCCAGGCTTGGTGATGAAAGCGTTCCACTGACAGCCAGGCAAGGCGCTCAGGGCTCTGCAGCAGAGAAGTTAGAGCTGCAGCTTTTTTGCTTTTGTGCTTTCACTAAAACTCAATTTGTTGTTGCACTTGTTGGATGGTCATGTCCCACAGGGGAAGTTTCCAGTACTGTGTTCTAAACTTTGGACTGCTTGTACCATCTTACTTGTCCCCTCATTAATAATGGATTAAATAAAATCTTTAGTATATGCTAATTTCATGTCTTTACAAGAGTCACGATTTTTTTTTTTTTTTTTGAAAAGTACCTTTTCACATTGCTATCACTCCCTTACCAGAGCAGTGAGTTTCTGGGTCTCCTTCTTAGGGGCAGACACTGTCCCATGTAATTAGAATTAATTTGTTGCTCGTAGGTGGACAGAGAAAAGCTTCCACACTCCCGGGAGACAGGGGTTCAGATCCTGTGCCGTGGCTGAGAGTGATGCCGAGGAAGACACTTCTCTCCGAGTCTTAGTCTGCCCACCTGTGAAACGGGCTCACAACAAACCCCTGACCCCAGGCTCGGTCGCCTTGAGTCCAAGACCTCACCCAATCCCCTCACCCCCCGGGCCCTCAGGAGGCGCGGGACTCGGGGAGGGGGCGGCCCCTTCCTCGGGAGGCGCCCAGGTGGCACGTCGGTGCCTCAGCTCCTGGGGTCTCTGGGCTCCGCGCTGCCCGTGGGATGCAGAGGGGCCTCTGGAGGGGGCGGGTTCTCTCGAGCCAGAAAGCCCGGAGCCGCCCAGGAATTTTGGCTCGAACTGAGAGCACTTCCTCCCGGGCCGGCCGGGCGCGATCCGGGAAGGGCGGCTGCGGGCAGACGCGGCGCTGCGCTCTGCCGGGCCGGCACCATGCGGCCCCTGCTCTGCGCGCTGGCCGGGCTGGCCCTGCTCCGCGCCGCGGGCTCTTTGGCCGGTGAGTGGGGCACGGGGCGCGACAGGGGACCTGGAGCCGGGGAGACCCGCAGATGGCGAGGAAGGAATGAGCAAGAGAGCGACACAGAGAGAGAGCTGGACACAGCAGCGAGATGGAGAGAGAAGCAGATGCAGGGAGGGAGGGATGGAGAGAAAGATTGAGAGGAAACAGACTCAGAAAAAGGCAGAGAAGTAGAGCAACGGAGGGATAAAGGAGAGAGGAAAGAATAAACAGTGAAAAGGAAAAGGAGAGGCCGAGACAGAAAGAGGCTTTCCCTGAACAAATATGAACTAGGATAGAAAGAAAAAGGAGTTTGAGAGACAGAAGAAGAAGGAAAGAGAAAGAGTGATTGAAATGGCAAGGGGTGGAGGGAGAGAGGATATTGAAGAAAAGAGAAAGATTTGAGAGAGACCAAAAAGGAGAGAGAGAGAAGCTTGATGCCCGGAGTAGAGCTGGCAAGAGAGAAGGAGCCAGGATCTGGAGTGGGAGGTCACAGCTGCTGGGTGGGGCAGCCCAGGAGGCCAGCTCCGTCTCAGAGGGCCAGTGGAGGCTCAGGCCTGGCTTTACAGGACATTGCATAACAAGCCAGACTCCATAGGGTGACTGACCCAGGCTAGCCCAGCACAGCCTTAAAGAATCAGGCGGGGGGCCCAGGAGAAAGGCCACCTATTCACCTGCCAGGTGGCCTCAGGTGGTTCTGCGGTCGATGAAGAAGTCACCTCCCAGTTTCCAGGGAGCTTCTCTGGGGAACTGAGCTGTTCTGGGTGGAGATCGGGGACCGGGTGGAGGTAGAGAGCTGTGCCGAAGGGAGAGGCTGTCTGGGTACTTCATTAGCTGGGTTCCTTGCCTTTCACTGTTCACTTTCTTCCCCCCACCTCCCTCTCAGGCGGGGGGATCACGAGGTCAGGAGATCAAGACCAGCCTGGCTAACACGGTGAAACCCTATCTCTGCTAAAAATACAATAATTAGCCGGGCGTGGTGACACATACCTGTAGTCCCAACTACTCAGGAGGCTGAGGCAGGAGAATCACTTGAACCTGGGAGGTGGAGGTTGCAGTGAGCCGAGATGAAGCCACGGCAATCCAGCTTGGGTGACAGACCAAGATTCTGTCTCAAAAAAAAAAAAAAAAAGAAGAAGAAGAAAAGAAAGAAAGTATTCATGTATTAGTGTAATTTCACACTGATTTCATACATTTTTGTGCATAATCTTTCAGATTTTAGATGACATATCTTAACTTTTGATTATGAAAACTTTTGGATACAAAACACAAAATAATAGTATATGAAAGAATCATATAAGGTACTTATCACCCCTACTTCAACAAGTATCAGTTCATGGGCAGTTTTATCTCATCTATAGTTTCCACCCTCTCTCCCCTCCCTGGATTATTTTAAAGGAAATCCAGGCATTGTGTATTTTCTTTTCTTTTCTTCCTTCTTTTTTTTTTTTTTTTTTTTGACAGTGTCTCATTCTGTCACCCATGCTAGAATGCAGTGGTGCAATCTCAGCTCACTGCAACCTCCGCCTCCTGGGTTCAACTGATTATCCTGCCTCAGCCTCCCAAGTAGCTGGGACTACAGGCAAGCACCATCATACCTGACTACTTTTGGTATTTTTAGTACACACAGGATTTCACCATGTTGGCCAGACTGGTCTCGAACTCCCAAACTCAGATGATCCCCCCGCCTCGGCCTCCCAAAGTGTTGGGATTACAGATGTGAGCCACAGCGCCTGGCCTGGCATCATGTATTTACATCTATAAACACTCTTTTAATAAACACAACTGCAATGCCATGATCACACTCCAAAAGCCGTGACTGAATATCATTAAATATTCAATCACTGTTCAAATGTCCTTGATTGATTGTGTCATATCTTTTTGCAATTCATTTGTTTAATCCAAATAAGGTTACATACACTGCATTTGGTCAATATGTCTATTAGATCTCTTTAAATATGTAAGTTTTCTCTCCCCCTTTTTTTACTTAAATTTTTGTTGTTGTTGAAGAAACTAAGTTTGTCCTGTAAAGTTTTCCGCTTTTAGATTTTGCTAATTGCATCCCTTTGATGTCATTTAAATACCTCCACCCCTTATATTTTCTATAAATGGAGAGCTATCTCTAGCATGTCCGACTTCCAACCTTGGTTTCTTTCTTTCTTTTCTTTTCTTTCTTTCTTTTTTTTTTTTTTTTTTTTTTGAGACAGAGTCTTGTTTTGTCATCCCAGGTGGAGTGCACTGGTGTGATCTTGGCTCATCACAACCTCTGCCTCCCAGGTTCAAGCAATTCCCATGCCTCAGCCTCCTGAGTAGCTGGGATTACGGATGCGCACCACCACGCCAGGCTAATTTTTGCATTTTTTAGTAGAGACAGGGACGGCGGGGGTGGGTTTCACCATGTTGGCCAGGCTGGTCTCGAACTCCTGACATCAAGTGATCAGCCTTCCTCAGCCTCCCAAAGTGCTGGGATTACAGGCATGAGCCACCGCGCTGGGCCGCAGTCTTGGTTTCTTTTAACAGCACTCAGAGAAACCTTTATCCCTGATAGCTTTTTAGACCATGAGCCACCACGCCCGGCCTGTATTTTGGAGTTTTTTATAGAATCACTTGAAGAATAGTGTTCTGCAGCTTTCAAAAATAATCAAAACCCATGGATGATTTCGAATGAATCATACATTTTAATACAAATATTGGATGTGGTAAATTTATTATTCTATTATATTGAATGTGGTCAAATATAATTAACCACCAAGTGGCCAGGGTTGCTTTTCAAAGCAGAGTGTGACTTTGACAATTCAGAAGATACAGCAGCACCTTTCAGAGATGCCACTGAGAAAACATTTCTCATCACCCAACATGCAGAAATCATCTGCGCTGTGGCACTTTCTTACTGTTTGGGTCCAGATAAAAAAGGTCTCCCTGTAAGGCCTGTAAGTAGAAGGAGCGGTACTTCCGCCTCAGACGATGGGACCCAGCGGCCACGTCTCTTTAACTGGGGCAGCCAGCCCAGCCCAGCCCTCCCCTGGGGCCTCCAGGCCCCACAGCAGCCTGTTCTCACCAGCACAGGATGCCCCGCCCGTGGCCACCATCCAGGGTGCACATCAGGCCCCAAGCAGGAGCCGGGCCAGAGAAAACAACGCAGCATCCAAGGAGGTCCATTTCCCAACTGGCAGGGCCTGGGAGAGCAGGAGGAAAGGAAGGAAGGGAGCCCTGCGGAGCCACAGCCTTGGCTGCTCAGGGTTAATCATCACAATCCTTCAGCCTTTTCCACTCCCCTTGTCTGAGCCACTGACAGCCCTGTGGGTGCATATGCGTGTCTACTATTTTATTTTTTTTTTTATTTTTTTTTTACAAGACAGGGTCTTTCACTGTCACCCAGGCTGCAGTGCAGTGGTGCAATCGTAGCTGACTGTAGTCTCAAACTCCTGGGCTCAAACAGTTCTCCCACCTCAGTTTTCCAAATAACTGAGACTACAAGTATATGCCACCAATCTAGGCTAATTTTTTTATTTTTATTTTTATTTATTTATTTATTTATTTATTTTGTAGAAACAGAATCTCACTGTGTTGCCCGGGGTGGCCTCAAACTTCTGGCTTCAAGCGATCCTCCTGCCTCAGCCTCCTAAAGCTCTGGGATTACAGGTGTGAACCACTGAGCCCAGCTCTTGTAGGCCTCTTGAGGCCTCTCTGCAGCCTCCAAAAGACAGAGAAGAATTAAGGATGCACTACACAGGGGAGTGAGGGCCTCGGGCCTACCCTACCCCATTTTATGGAGGAGGCAGCAGAGGCTCAGGGAGGAGAAGAAACTTTCTCACAATCCCACAATCATTAGTGGCTGAACCAGGCTGAGAACAGGGGTCTCCAGCATGTTTTCTACCACGATGCGTTCAAGTCAGCGCTATGGTGAGGACACTGGTGCGGAGGGAGCAGGCAGTACAATGTCAGGCCCTGCTCCAATCTTGCTCTCTCAGATGCACTCCGTGGAGGCCCCGATGAGCTCATGGACAGTTGCTCCGGGGTGCACAGAGCACAGTTTTGTCCAGATGTGAAGGATTAGTGCTGAGCCATGTTGGGAGTGACCTCAGCCCAGCCTTTTCCCTGGAGGGGTTTTGGAGCCAAGTTAGACCTCATCACAGACACGTAGAGAACAGGGTGTTTTAGGCCAGTGGAGAGAAGCAGGCTCTGGTTGTTCCTGACTTCTAAAGCCGCCAGACTCCCACTTGGCTGGCAGGGTCACACCGCATTCCTCTGGCCTAAGCCTGGAGGAAGTGTGTGAGGGGAGAGTGGCTAGGGTCTGGGAGAGGGCAGGTGAGCCTCAGGGGAAAGCCTTGGCCAAAGGCCTCTGGACAGAGCCAGCAGGAGGTATGGGTATCCACAGACTTATGACGACAGGCCTTCCCCCAGGACAGCCACTCTGTCTGTGGGGAACAGCTCTTCCGGCCCCCTCAGAGCTTTTCCTCTCCAAGCTGAGCAGCCCAGTTTTAGCTGAGACAATTGAGTTAAAATTTGGAGTCCCAGACTGGGTGCGGTGGTTCACACCTATAATCCCAGCACTTTGGGAGGCCGAGGCAGGCGGATCACTTAAGCCCAGGGGTTTGAGCTTAGCCTGGGCAACACAGTGAAACCCCATCCCTACAAAAATTACAAAACGTAGCCAGGCATGGTAGTGTGTGCCTGTAGTCCCAGCCACTCTGGAGGCTGAGGTGGGAGAATTGCTTGAACCCGGGAAGAAGAGGTTGTAGTGAGCCATGACCGTGCCACTGCATTTCAGCCTGGGTGACAGAGTGAGACTCTGTCTGAAAAAAAAAAAAAAAAAGGAGTCCCTTCCCATAACCTCCTCTAGACTTGCTCCTGCCTCTCAAGGGCCTTCTCAGGATGTGGGGCCAGGATAGAGCATAGCCTCCAGGGGCCTCTCTGTCTCTGAATATTTTACATGGATGCCTGCAGCCCACGATGGCTGCTGCTTTCTGCTGACAACCCCATCAGACTTGTGTTATGGAACATTTCAAACCGTGCACACAACAGTAGACAGAATCGCTGAATGCGACCCCATGTGCTCATCACCAGCTTCAACAATTAGCAACTCTCAGCCCATCCTGTTGGCTCTAAACATCCACGCATGCCTCTCCCCCATCCCCACCAAGGCCTGAATTATTTACTTTGGAAGTAAATCCAAGACAGCACAGCCTTTCATCTGTAAATATTTCAGTATACGTCTTTAAAGGACTCTCCTTAAAAAAATAACCAAAGCACCATTATGATGTCCTCCTCCCTCCCCAGATTCAACAATAACACCATTATCTTTTGAAAAGTCTTTTCTAAGTTCAGTGGAGGGAAATAATGGAAAGGATAATTTGAAAAACAGATTGTTCTCCACAAAAGATGCTCAGAGTGGAAGGACATTTTGTCCCTGGTCTTGTTCTTATCCCTGAGTGGAAGAGCTGAGAGCTAGATAGAGTTGGAATCAGAAACTCACAGGGTAGGGGCTCCACCTTGCTGAGATGAGGCCGGGAGGTCAGGGTGCCTGAGGTCCAGGCATTTGCAGATGGTGAGATCTTGGGCAAATCACTCGGCCTCTCAGAGTTACACATCCATCACCAGCTCTGTCTTACCTCAAGACCTGCCCCACTTCTAGACAACTGCAGGTGGCCCCTTGGCCAACCCTTCCAACACCAAGGCCTTACAGCTACAAGCCTTGCACGTAGAGAGATCAAGTTCCATAACTGTCTCCCCCCATTGAGCTTTGGATGCTCACATCCACGGCCACAGCCTTAATATTGTCACTATCTGAAGCTGCTCTACCTCTAAAAGCTAAAATTGCAATATTCTTTACCTCTTGTTCCTCGTGTGATTCCTAAGACCTCCGTCTCTTCAGCCCCCGTTTCTCCCAATTTATTGGCCCCCTTCTTGGCCTCATTTCCTTCCTTATTCCAGCTGGATTCCAGGGCTCCTGTCCTAAACCCCTGACTGGCCAAATCTCAGTTCCTTGGCCCCTTGCCTCCACCACATCCATCCTGCAGACTCCTAGGTTTCAGCTCCATCCAGCCATCTGTCTTTGCTGCTCTACGCCCAGACTATGGAGCGTTGCTGGGGGAGGACTCGTGCTTCCAGGATTCCTTGTTGATGCCAACTCATTCTGCATGGTCCTCCCACACTGCATCCCTCATTCTGCCCATCCTCTTTCGAAGCCCTCTCTTTATTCAAGTCCCTTACCTAGTGGTGCACTGATAGACTGGCTCTTAAAAAAAAAAAGGGGTGTGGGTCATTGATTTCAGTGGTGTAAATGTTCCCATCATGGCCACCATTTTTTTTTTAACTTAAAAAATTTTTTCTTTTTAGAGCTGGGGTCTCACTATGTTGACCAGGCTGGTCTCGAACTCCTGGACTCAAGCGATCCTCCCACTCGGCCTCCCAAAGTGCTAGGATTACAGGCACGAGCTGCCATTTCCAGACACCATGGTCACTATTTTAATGTCTGTGTTTAGCAACCTACTCAAAGAATTCTTGTCATTGTAACATCTAGCTCTCTTCCCTACGTGATCTCCATCTTATTGCACAGAGTAAACAGAGGCCATCAGGTGGGAGCTCACTCCACTTTTTGGCCCCTAGTTAGATGGTTTGCCTTTGCCTGTTTTTGCTGCATTTCCTCTGTCTTCCTTCCAGATGTGGTCCCCCCTGCTCTGGATCCAGGGCCTCCCATCAGTTCAGGAAGTGCATTCCTTGGGTTCTCTTGTCTTCCTCCTGTCCCTCAGGCTGTAAGCATGGTGTGTTTTCCAATACTTTAAAAAAAAAAAAAAAAAAAAAAAAAAAAACCATAAATACTTCTCTAGACCTTGCGATCCAATCTCCCTTCCTTCACAGCCAAGCTTCATGGAATTTTCCAGATTCCAAGTTTCTACCCCCAACCTCACCTTCCCTTCTCATCTCCCAGTAATCCAAACTCTGCTTTTCCACCACTCCTAAAAGTGCTGGGGTAAAATTTAGCAGGGCCTTTCTGTGCTCTCTTTCCAGTCCTTAACTTGCTACACCTCCCCGCTGCTTTTGGTCATGCTGACCCTTTTCATCCTCTGTAGAATCTATAAAGCTCCCGGCTTCTCTTGACTTCTGGGGCAGCACCCTCCTTCCTGAGTGTCAGCGTTCTCCAAGGTTCCAGCCACCCTGATGCCCCACAGGCATCTCAGGGTTACCAACTCTGAAACCCGAACTTGGAATCAGGGCTCTCAGACTTCTGCTATGAGGGTTGATGGTGCCTGGAAGAGCTAACTCAAGAAGAACAACGGTGAATCAGGAGTTGAGTGGGTTGAATGGCAGATCCTCTGCTTATGAGTAGTGACTTTGGACACATCCTTTCACCCTTCTGTGCATCAGTTTTCCTATGTGTAGATTGGGCATAACAACAGGTAGTTGGAGAGGTTAAGTTAGCACCCTACATGGTGCATGGTAAGCGCTCATCACATGCCAACTGTTACTAATGGGTTTCCAGCCTCAATGCTGCTACTAAAATATCTCCTCTCATTTCCTTCCTCACTATTCCTACAGCTCCTGCTTCTGCTTATCACTTCTCCCTCACCCCTCTTATCCTGATTGCTGCAGTAACCTCCTGCCTTCAAAGGCATCTCCCTCCAATCTGTTCCCTCTATTTTAAAAATTCATGTTTGACCCTGTGACTTTTCTGTTAAAATAAACCCCCTTGGCCTGGCATGGTGGCTCACACCTGTAATCCCAGCACTTTGGAAGGCCGAGGCGGGCGGATCACCTGAGGTCAGGAGTTTGAGATCAGCCTGACCTACATGGTGAAACCCTGTCTCTACTAAAAATACAAAAATTAACAGGGCGTGGTGGCAGGACTTGTAATCCCAGCTACTCGGGAGGCTGAGGCAGGAGAATCGCTTGAACCCAGGAGGCGGAGGTTGGAGTGAGCCGAGATCGAACCATTGCACTTCAGCCTGGGCGACAGAGCGAGACTCTGTCTCAGAACAAACAAACAAGCAAACAAACAAAACAAGCATCAGAACTGGTTTATTAAAGCCCCTGGGTTAAAACTCTACCCCCTTGGCTTCATTTCCAGGACTTCCCTCTCCAGTCTCTCCCCCGCCCACCCTGTATCTCCAGCCACTGCAGGCTGCCTGCAGGGTTTACACAGTGAGCCATGCTCTTTCAGACCCCTCCATCATTGCAGCTCCCTGGCTGAAGCCCGTACTCCCTTCCTCCCTGGGCTTTACCTCCTTGAGGAAGTTCATCTGGGTCTGTAGGTGGCTGTGACTGTAGAGACTGGTGGGATTGAGATGGCTGACACTCGTACACTGACCCCCACCTGGGCCTTCCTTTGCTTGCTCTTGCGTTTGCCTTGAGGACTGACCCCACTTGAGCCCAGTGTTTACAGGAGTCTCTGGCATTATGGAACACTAAGGGTCCCACAGTGAAAAGACTCGTTTTTCCACAGCTGCAGAACCCTTCAGCCCTCCACGAGGAGATTCAGCTCAGAGCACAGTGTGTGACAGACATATGGCTGTGCAACGCCGTCTAGATGTCATGGAGGAGGTAAAAGGGTGATTTGGAAGGGCATGCGGGTTCAGGACCACCTTCTAGAATGGTGTTTTTATGGGCAGATGCAGGCTTGCTTTGGAATGTGAGGACATCCAGGCCAATCCTGCCCTGTGACCACCTTGTCCAACATCATCCTCGCATCTGGGTTGCCAGGCTGCCCAGCCCCCAATGGACTCTGCCTCTCCTAAGGCCTTGCTTATCCGCCCCGCCCCCCGCCGGATATTTCAACATCGTTACTGGGTGGGAAGGTGGAAATTCAGTCACTGTTTTGTTATATAGCCACGATTCCTAACTTGTGTGGGGAAACGTTTACATCTTTATTGTCACAAGACTTTAACTGAAATTGAGTGTCCCATTCATCATAAATACAGACAGCAAGCTGTGGTATTAACAGTACTATAACTTTGTCATCAGTAGAAATCCAGATAATTTCATCTGCCTCTAGTTGTGAATATCTCAACATATAATTTTTACCCTTGTGTCAAAATTTCAGTTGTGGTCAGGCCTGATGTTAAATCATGTGATTTAGTGAGTTAATAGATACATTTTTCTTTTTTTTTGAGGCAGGGTCTCTCTCTGTCTAGCAGGCTGGAGTGCCGTAGTGCAGTCTCGGTTCTCTGCAACTTCCATTTCCCAGGCTCAAGCGATCCTCCCACCTCAGTCTTCCAAGTAGCTGGGACTACAGGCACATGTGCCACCATGCCTGACTAATTTTTGTATTTTTTTGTAGAGGCAAGGTTTTGCTATGCTGCCCAGGCTGGTCTTGAACTCCTGAGCTCAAGCCATTCACCCACCTCGGCCTCCCAAGGTGCTGGGATTACAGGCATGAGTCACTTTGCCCAGCCAATACATATATTACTCAAAAAATTAATTTTTTTTTTGACAGAGTCTCTGTCACCCAGCCTGGAGCGCATGGTACAGTCTTGGCTCACTGCATCCTCTGCCTCCCAGGTTCCAGTGATTCTTGTGCCTCAACCTCCCGAGTAGCTGGGACTACAGGCATGCACCACCATGCCCAGCTAATTTTTTGTACTTACCATGCCCAGCTAATTTTTTGTACTTTTGGTAGAGATGGGGTTTCACCATGTTGGCCAGGCTGGTCTCAAACTCCTGACCTCAAGAGATCTCACCTCAGCCTCCCAAAGTGCTGGGATTACAGGCGTGAGCCACCATGCTGGGCCAAAAAGTTTAATTTTAAATACCTGAATTTTTTTTTCTTTTTTCTTTTCTTTTCTTTTTTTTTGTGGTAGAGTCTCACTCTGTCACTCAGGCTGGAGTGCAATGGTGTGGTCTCAGCTCACTGTAACCTCCACCTCCCAGTTCAAGTGATTCTCTTGCCTCAGCCTCCCGAGTAGCTGGACTACAGACGGGCACTACCACACCTGGCTTCTTTTGTATTTTTAGTAGAGGCAGGGTTTCACCATGTTGACTAGGCTAATCTCGAACTCCTGACCTCCAGTGATCTGCCTGCCTCGGCCTCCGAAAGTGCTGGGATTACAGGCATGAGCCACCACGCCCGGCCTAATACTTGAATATTTTAATGCAATTGGTGCCCTTGGTAATTCTATATGTTTTATTTTTCGCATTTAAGGCATTATTCTGAGAAGAGGTCTGTAGGCTTCACCACACTGCCAGTGGTATCCATGGCACACACAGGGAAAAATCATTAAGAACCCTGAGTAAATTTCAGAATCCTAAACTTGTCATTTGGCAGAGACACCACCAGGGGCAGAACAACAAAAGGAATGTGAGCTCCAGCCTGCAAAGGCCAAAAGGGAGAGTATTCCACAGGCGCTTCATCCAAACCTGTGACTGAGTGCCAAAAGGAAGGAACCTTAGAGAGCGAGACCCCTAGGATATTGTCATCTGGGGAAACTGAGGCAGGTAGGGGTGGAGCCTGAGTGAAGGAAACCCAGGTCCCGCAGCGCCTAGTCCTTTCTCACTGCACCGCACTGGATCGCCAGCTGCTCTTAGGACCTGGCTGATAAAGCAGAACGTGGAACCACTCCTGTCCTCGACTTTACCCCCTTTCCCACTCTAGATGGTAGAGAAGACCGTGGATCACCTGGGGACAGAGGTAAAAGGCCTGCTGGGCCTGCTGGAGGAGCTGGCCTGGAACCTGCCCCCGGGACCCTTCAGCCCCGCTCCCGACCTCCTCGGAGAAGGTGAGCAGTGCAGGTGGCAGAGGACCGCCTCTGGGCTGCTGTCATCTGGGGCTGGACAGGCGAGACAGGAACGGCTACTCCACCGCACAGGTGTAGCCTGGCAGGCAGGGAGGGCCCCAGCGCTCCCTGGGGTTGGAAGAGGGACGGCATCATCCCTGCTCCCCGCCCCCGGCCCCCGCCACCCGGTCGCTGCCGCCCAGTGTCAAATGAGGTTCTGGAAGAGCCAGCCCTAGATGCCATCTCAGCACAACCCCGGCGCCGAGAAACTGCCTCCTTCATTGGCCTTCTCACGACTGGAGCTCCTTAGCTCCTTTCATTTCCCCCTGAGGAACCACTCCTGTTCCACCCCAAAACCCTCTCGGAAGACGGGTAACCCTACTGATCAGGCAGGGATGGGGTTGCACTCTGCTGTCTCCTTGATCCCTGTGTCCCGCGCACAGGAGTTCCCGGGACTAGGGAGGGAAGGGAAAGAACTGCTGGACACCCCGGAGGCGGGTACCCTGCAGCGCCCCAGCTTGCTCACTGGAGGCCTCTGCTTTCTTTCAGATGGCTTCTGAGCCCCGGAGCTGGAGCCCAGCAGCTGGAGGTGGTGCACCTGCCAGGCAGCACCCACAGAGCCAGCCCTGTCCTCTCGCCGTCCTTCCTCAGCTTCATGTGAAATAAAAACTATTCTTTTGGTCTCCTCTGTGTCTGCTGACAGAGTAATCCGTTTAACTATAGCCCCCTCTCCCTCCACTTCCATGCCTGGAGGAGGCCTGCAACCCCCTTCAGTCTCAGACCTGGGGACACGCCCACACCCGCCATCTGTGCTTTAGCCCTCCTTATTTACAGAGGCAGATGGAGCAGGGGTTGACTCACACAGGTGGGCGCCCTTTGAGTGGCCTTGCTTCTCAAAATGTGGCCGTAGGTGAGAAGCAAGGGGATCAGGGTCTCAGGACCCACCCAGACTCCCAAATCTGCATTACAATGAGACCCCCAGGGAATTTATGTGTCCCTTAAAGTGGTTTGTTATTGTTTTTAAAAAAATTTCCTATGAAGTGAAATTCAATGTAAAATTCATCATTTTAACTATTTTAAATTGTACAAGGCTGGAGGTGGTGGCTTACGCCTATAATCCTAGCACTTTAGGAGGCCAAGGTAGGAGGATCACTTGAGCCCAGAAGTTTGAGACCAGCCTGGGCAACACGGTGAAACCCCATCTCTACAAAAATTACAAAAATTAGCCGGGCATGGTGGCGCGTGCCTGTAGTCCTAGCTACTTAGGAGGCTGAGGTGGGAGGATCACCTGAGCCCTGTAGGTCAAGGTTGCAGTGAGCCATGATCATGCCACTGCACTCCAGCCTGGGTGACAGAGACCTTGTCTCAAAAAAAAAAAAAAAAAAAAAAACTAAAATTAAATAAATTGTACAAATGCAGTGGCTTCCAGTACATTCAGAAGTTGTGCAGTCATCACCACCAGTTCCAGAACGTTGTTCTCCCTCTAGAAAGAAACTCTGTATCTCTTAAGCAGTCACATCCCATTCCTGCTCTCCCAACTACCCTGGAAACCACTGGTCTCTGTCTTCATGAACTTGCCTATTCTGGACATTTTAAATACAGTAGTCCTGCTTTATCTGTGGTTTCACCTTCCGTGGTTTCAGTTACCTGCAGTCAACCATGGTCCTAAAATATTAAACTCCAGAAATAAGCAATATATGAGTTTTCAATTGCACATCATTCTAAGTGGACTGATGAAATCTCTCGCCATCCCACTTCATCCCGCTCTGGACGTGAATGCTCCCTTTATCCAGCATGGTCCACGCTGTCTGCACTTCCTGCCTGTTAGTCACTTAGCAGCCTTCTCAGTTATCAGATCAATGGCCACAGTATCACAGTGCTTGTGTTCCAGCAACACTTCTTTCTCTTAATCAAGACCCAAAGTGGAAGAGCAGAGCTGCTGGCATATGGTGGTTGTTTTTCACGCAACTCTCCCTTCACAGAAGCTGGCATAGTGTACTAATTGTTCCATTTTATTCTTAGCTATTGTTGCTAATCTCTTATGGTGCCTCATTTATAAATTAAACTTCATAGGTATGCATGCATAGGAAAAAACATAGTATAATAGGATTAGAGACTATTGTGGTTTCAGGCATCCACTAGGGGTATTGAATTCATCCCCTGAATGAATTCAGGTAAGGGGGTACTACTGTAAACAGAATCATACAATATGTAGCCTAGCTGTATCTGGCTTCTTTCTCTGAGCATAATGTTTTCAAGGGCCATCTGTATTGTAGCATGTATCTGTACTTCATTCCTTATGGATGAATAATGTTTTATTATATGAATATACCACATTTTATTCTTTTTTTTTTTTTTTTAGACAGAGTCTCACTCTGTCACCCATGCTGTAGTGCAGTGGGCATGATCTCAGCTCACTGCAACCTCTGCCTCCCAGGTCCAGGCGATTTCCTGCCTCAGCCTCCCGAGTAGCTGGAATTATAGGTGCACACCACCACGGCTGGCTAATTCTTGTATTTTTAGTAGAGACGGGGTTTCACCATGTTGGTCAGGCTGGTCTCAAACTCCTGACCTCAGGTGATCCGCCTGCCTCGGCCTCCCAAAGTGCTGGGATTACAGGAATGAGCCACTGCACCCGGCCCACATTTTATTCATTTATTCATCAATTGATGACATTTGGGTTGTTTGCATTTTTTGGCTATTATGAATAATGTTGCTATGAACATCCATATATGAGTTTTTGTGTGAGTATTTGTTTTTCAATTTGTTTTGGGTCTATATGTAGGCATGAAATGGCTGAGTCACATGGTAACTGTTATGTTTAACTTTTTGAAGAACCACCAAACTCTTTTGTATTGCAGCTGTACTATTTTACATTCCCACCTGCAATATCAGCTGTGGCTTATTCATAGATGCCTTCTGGCAGGTTGAGACATTTTCCTTCTAGTCTTATTTCGTTGAGTGTTTTTTCAATCACGAAAGGATGTTGGGTTTTTTCAAATGCTTTTTCTGCATCAGTTGAGATGATCATGTGTGATTTCCCCTTTCATTTATTAATTACATGCATTACATCTTTTTTGTTTGTGTGTTTTTCTGAGATGGAGTCTTGCTCTGTTGTTCAGGCTGGAGTGCAGTGGCACGATCTCAGCTCACTGCAACCTCTGCCTTCCAGGTGCCAGCAATTCTCCTGCCTCAGCCTCCCGAGTAGCTGGGATTACAGGCACCCGCCACCATGCCCGGCTAAGTTTTGTATTTTTAGTAGAGACAGGGTTTCGCCATGTTGGCCAGGCTGGTCTTGAACTTCTGACCTCAGGTGATCTACCCACCTCGGCCTCCCAAAGTGCTGGAATTACAGGCGTGAGTGAGCCACTGCACTCAGCCTGATTTTCATATATTAAATGACCCTTGCATTCCTGGGATAAATTTCACTTGGTCATGATGTATAATGCTTTTAATATGCTGCTGGATTTAGTCTGCTAGCATGTTGTTCAGGATTTTTGTTCCTGGACAACATTTCTAGACACACCCTGGGCTGGAAGGGAACCCACTGCCTCGAAGGAAAGGACCCAGTCTTGGCTGCATTTATTGCCTGTTAACTGAGGAGCCCTTGGTCCCTGAATAACCAGCAGAGATACCCGGGTACTATGTTGAGGGCCTTGGGTGAGACTCTGAGTCTTGCTGGTTTCAGGTTCAGATTCAGCCAGCACATTCCCAGCTGTGGTGGTTAAAAGGCGAGATTCCTGCTAGAGAAAAGTGAAAGGAAAAGTAAAGTGGGCTTTGTCTTACACCTTAGGTACTAGCTCAGCCACAGGAGAGTAAAGCACCACATGGTTCTTGGGACTGCCAATTCCAGGACTTGGATGGCATTTATGGACCTACCCTGGGCCAGAGGGGAGCCCACTGCCCTGGAGGGTGAGTCCCATGCCTGGCAGCATTCACCACAAGCTGGTTGAAGAATCCCTGGGCCTTAAGGGAACATCAGCAGCAGTCTGACAGCACTCCCTGTGGCCTGTGGTGGCGGGTGGCCGTGGAGTGAGGCACCTCTGTCTTGGGAAAGGGAAGGAAGAGAGGGAAGGACTGCATCTTGTGGATTCAGTGCCAGCTCATCTGCAGTATAATAGAACACCAGGTAGACTTCTAAGATTTTTTACTCTAGTTGCTGGCTTCCAGATGGCACCTCTGGGCCCACCTGGGGCCTGGAGGAACTTGCTGTTCTGAAGGGAAGGACACAAGCCTGGCTGGCTCTGCCACCAGCCGATTGTAGAGCCCCAGGGCCTTGAGCAGACATAGGCAGTAGCCAGGCAGTGGTAATAGAAGGCCTTGGGTGAGATCCAGTGCTGCGCTGGCTTTCAGGTCTGACCCAGTGCAGTCCTAGTGGTGGTGGCCACAGGGGTGCTTATGCCCTTTCACCCCCAGCTTCAGGTGGCTTAGAACAGAGAAAGGGACTCCTTTTGTTTGGAAGACAGTACGGGAATAGAACAAGAGTCTCTGTATGGTAATCCAGAGAATTCTGAATCTTGTTCAAGACCATCAAGGCAGTACCTCTATGAGGCTAAACAAAACCAAAGTGTTATTGGGCTTGCGGTGAATCCTTAAGCAGATACAGCTTAGATCACAACACCCAAGCCATTCAAATATCTGGAAAGCCTTCCCAAGAAGGACAGGTACAAACAAGCACAGACTGGAAGACTATGATAAATACCTAACTCTTCAATGCTCAGACACAGATGAATATCTACAAGTATCAAGCCCACCCAAGATTTTCCTTTCAGCACACTGAATATGTCACCTCATTACCTTCTCACTTCCATAATGTTGGATGAGAAATTGGCTATTAATCTTACTGAAGATTTCTTGTACGTGTCAAGTGGCTCTTTCTGCTTTCAGGATTTGCTTTGTCTTTGGACAGTATGATTATAACGTGTCTCAATGTCACACTGAGTGTTTCTTTGAGTTGACCCTATTGTAATTCATTGAGCTCTTTGTATGCGTAGATTAATGTCTTTCAGTATGTTTTCAGCCATTGTTTCTTTAAAAATTTCTTCTACATTCACTCTTCTGTGATTCTTATTAGGTGTATGTTGGTACACTTGATGGTATCCTGCAGGTGTCTTAGGCTCAGTTAACTTTGTTGTTGTTGTTGTTGTTTTCTTTCTGCACCTCAGAATAGGTAATCTCAATTGACCTATCTTGAAGTTTGCTGATTTTTTTCTTCTGCCTTTTTAAGTCTGCTTTGGAACCCTTCCAGTGAATTTTTCATTTGTGTACTTCTCAACTCCAGAACTTCTATTTGGTTCCTTTTTATAATTCCAGTCTCTTTATCAATATTGGTGAGATATCATTCTCCTGGTTTCCTCTAGCCCTTTGACCTTTTTGAAAATAATTGACTTAAAGTCTTGCCTGTTAAGTCCAATGTCTGAGCTTTCCTCAGTTTCTATTAGCAGATTTTTTTTCTATGTATGAGCCATACTTTCTTTGCATACCTCGTAATTTTTATTGAAAACTGGACATTTTGAATATTATTTATAATGTAGCAAGTTTGGAAATAAAATTATTCCTCCACTGTGTCACCTAGGCTGGAGTGCAATGGCAGGATTATGGCTCACTACAGCCTGGACCTCCCAGGTTCAGGTGATCCTCCCACCTCAGCCTCCTGGGCAGCTGGGACTATAGGTGTGTGCCACCA